CAGAGACAACAGCAACACACAAAGGATTATAGCACCAGCCCGACAGCAGCAGCAGCAGCAGTGAGAGGACCAAGGACAGCAGCATAGACAACAGCAGCGAGAGCAGCAGCAGCAACAGAGAAAGCAGCAAGAGCAGCAGCAGCAGCAGCAGCAGCAGCAGCATTACCTCAAGGCATCTGAGGAGACACTTCTCTGTCTCTGCACGGAGCCTGGAGACAGCAGCAAAGAGACAGTCGCGAGAGCGAAGCCCCACAGCCTTTTGTCTTAAAAACTCTAAAGAAGCTCCACGTGCAGGTAGAGGATAACGAAGCATACCTCCTGCTGCTGTTGCTGCTCCTGCTGCTGCTGCTGCTGCTGCTCCTGCTGCTGCTTCGGCTGCTGCTGTTGCTGCTGGGGGCTCAGGAGGAGAAGTGCAGCTGCTACATGCGCCGTGCAGTTCCCACGTCTTTATATATTCAGCACAATCTGTGCTGCTGCTGCTGCTGTTGCTGCTGCTGCTGCTGCTGCAGGGGGGCACTCTGAGCTCTACCTTGTGTCTCCTTTGACTTACAAAGTAAATGTCTCCTTTCAAGCAGAGGGAGTCTCCTCTTCTTAGCTTCCTTCCTCGAGGTGCTGCACTTCCCTCGGTGTGGTGTCCTGCTGCTGCTGCTGCTGTTGCTGCTGTTGCTGCTGCTGCTGCTGTGGCTGCTGCTGCTGCTGCTGCTGCTGGAACAACACACTGCAGCGGCAATGCACAAGATCCATCGGAGACATCAACAAAAAGGAGACACCCGGAGGCCCCTTCACGTACAGACACTGCCCAGCCACATACACTCGCCCCGCGCAGCAGCAACTGCTCTTGCTGCTGCTGTTGCTGCTGTTGCTGCTGCTGCTGCTGCTGCTGCTCTACCTGCTCAGCCAGCGCGTGAATTTGAGAGATTCGCAGACGGTCCTCAGCCCAAGTGGGTACAGGGTCGTCAGCAACATTTGCTGCTGCTGCTGTTGCTGCTGCTCCTGCCACTGCTGTTGCTGCTCCTGCTGCTGCTGCTGCTGCTGCTGCTGAAGTAGCAGCACCCTTTAGCTGCGAAGAGCGCGCAGATACCCCACGGGATTGAGAAACAAGATATTGAGGAGACAGAGGAGACGACAAACAAAACGCAGACACCCTACTAATGCACAGCAGCAGCAGCAAGAGCAGCAGCAGCAGCAGCAGCGCAGGGCGCTGCATCAATTGATATGGATCCCGCCTTAGAAATGCATGGCTATAGAAGCAGCAGCAGCAGCAACGATGGTAGCTGCTGCTGCTGCTGCAGCTGCAGCGCTTTCTGCCTCTATCTGTAGGGTGCACCATTACAGAACGAAGCAGACAGTTGTCTCCCTGCTGGCAGCTGCAACACCATCGGTGCAGTAACTAATCACTCCCAAAGGATGCTGTGTTGCTGCTGCTGTTGCTGCTGCTGCTGTTGCTGCCGTTGCTGCAATTGCTGTTGCTGCAGTTGCTGTTGCTGCGGTTGTTGTTACTGATGCTGTTGCTGTTGTTGCCTCGAAGGAAACACCAGGTGTTGGAACAGCCAAAGCTAGCTGCTCCCCAGCAGCAGCAGCAGCAATTGTTGTTGCTGCTGCTGCTGCTGCTGCTGCTGTTTACCTTCACGCAATGTCTTTTCGGTGTCTTTCAATTGGAGGGGGGCGGCCCATTCAGCAGCAGATCCTGCTGGGCACTGCATGCAAAGATGTGTTACAGAAGTAGCATCAGCAGCAGCAGCAGCTGCTGCTGCAGCAGCAGCAGCAGGGTTCGATTTAAAGCTTCTTAAGGCAAGGGGCCCCCCGGGGCCCCTCTCTCGCGCGTTGTCTGCTGGTACTGTGTTCTTCTTGCACGCAGCTGCAGCAAAAAATTGATAAACATTTTTTGTTTTTGTTTGTTAATTAATTTAATTAAACAAATGGAGGCCCCTCGATGCTGCGGTGTATGCTGAGGGGGGCCCCCTCTCCCGCGGCTGTGCTGCTCTTCTGGTAATACTTTGTATGAATATTATATATTTAATTTGTATTATTCACAAAATAAATAAATAAATAAATAAATATACATATATATTTACATTTATATGTGTTTACATATTTATATCTGTATATATACGCATTTACCTGTGACAGCTAAGAGGGGGGCCCCTGCTGCTCTCTGTTTGTTGCTTGGGGTGTCTAGGCACCAAATAAAAAGAAAAATATTAATTCTTTTAAAGTTAAAATGCTTGTTCTAAATAAACAGCAAAGGCATTAGAGGAAGCCGCTTGCATCTGCTGCTACATTATCTGCCGCTTCCCAGAGTGTCTCTATGAGATGCTGCTGCTGCTGCTGCTGCTGCTGCTTAAAGTTAATGCTGCTTCCTTCAGGGCTGCCTGAAGCAACGGCCCAACACCTGGCTATAAAGTGCTGCTCTGAAAAGCTGTGAAGAAGGAACATACATATATATATACACATATATATATATATATACACATATATATATATACATATATATATATATATATATATATGTATATATATAGATCTCTGTCCCGGTCTCCGTCTTTCTCTTTCTCTCTCTCTCTCTCTGCCTCTCTCTCTGTCTCTATCTGTCTCTCTCTCTCTACATACATATATATGTATATATGCATGTGTATCAATATTGTGCATATGGGCGTAACGCGTTTCGCCTACAAATATAAATTATACATATTTAGGAAGAGAGTCGAATATTAATTAATTTGCGCTGCGTGTTTATTTATTCTATTTGTTTGTTTATTGTTTATTAATATATATATGCATGTAAATATAAATATATATATATATATATGTACATATACATATACATATACATATATATATATATACATGTATATATATATATATATATACATATATATATATATACATATATATATGTTATACATATATATATATATATATATACATGTATATATATATGTATATATTATATATAATATTTATAATTGCGTTTATATTGGGGTATCCACGCCACTAATAAAGACATAGAAGACTCGCTGATGAAAAAATAAATATAAAAAAATAAATATAAAACAAAAAATAAAAGTACAATAAAATAAATGAACAAACAAAGCAAAAGAAAACTTTAAAAATATAGGTTCCCAGTTAAGACAGCCAAACCCCACACGTCGTTCACTGTCTGTCCCCTCCCAACTGTCTCCGCATTTCTGCTGTCTCCTCTTTAATCTCTTCTTTAATCTCTTTCCTTATCTGTCTCCTCCTGATGACTGTCTCTCTTTCAACTGTCTCCTGTGGGGGACGCAGCGGCGTCGTCAGGCTGCTGCTGTCTCCACTGGGATCCACGGATCGACGATCCCCTCTACTGGGATCGACGATCCCCTCTACTGAAATCGACGATCCCCTCTACTGGGATCGATCCCTTCAGCAGGTTCAACGTTTCCCCAACCGGGATCGACGATCCCCTTTACTGGGATCGACGATCCCCTTCATTGGTCTCCAACGATCCCCCAACTGGGATCGACAATCCCTTTCCGTGGGAGCGACGATCCCCCAGCACCTTTCATTGGGATCGACGATCCCATCAAGTCCCGGCCATCTTGGGACCCTCACCAACGACGACCCCACATTCCCGTTCAGTGGGATCGACGATCCCACGACTCCCAGCACTGGGATCGACGATCCCATCAAGTCCAGACCATCTTAGGCCCCTCACCAGATGCTTCTGCAAGAGCTCCTTCATACAGCGGAGACATCTCCCGCAGTCTCCTCACTTCTTTTACTAATCTCTCTGCACAGTGACGCACCTCCTCCTCCCGAGTAAATCGACCTGCAGCAGCAGCAGCAGCAATAGCAGCAGCAATAGCAGCAGAAACAGGAATGGCGGCAGGTGCGGGGGAAGCAGCAGCTGTTCGGGGAATAGAAGCAGCAGCAGAAGGGATAGCAACACCTCTTCTAAGAGGTAGCAGCAAAAAGGTAGCAGCAGCAGCAGCTGCAGCAGCAGCAGTTGCAGCAGCAGCACCACCAACAGGAGTTGCAGCAGCAACAGCAGCAGTTGCAAACACCTCCCCACCGGCATCAGATAACAGAACCAGCAGCAGCAGCAGCAGCAGCAACAGCAGCAGCAGCAACACCACCAGCAGCAGCAACACCACCAGCAGCAGCAACAGCAGCAGCAGCAACAGCAGTTGCAGCAGCAACAGCAGCAGCAGCAACAGCAGCAGCAGTTTACCGAAGCCAATGCGGATGGAGGTATGTGCTGTCTCCTCCCCAACACCAAGCGAGCGTAAAACATAAGACGGCTCCAGAGACTCGCTAGTGCATGCGCTCCCTGTACACCCCAGCACAAAACCCTAAACCCTAAACCCTAAACCCTAAACCCTAAAACCTCAGCCCAGGCTAGCGACAACAGCTCTTGCACGCGCAAGTCAGCACAAGTGCCTCCCTCGCTGCTCGTAAGGAGACCAGAGGTTCTTAGGGTTTAGGGTTTATAGCTTAGGGTTTAGGGTTTAGGGTTTAGGGTTTGACCTGAGCTCATTGCAATGTCCCCTATACTCATAAGGAGACTCTCTCCCTCGACAAAAGAGAAAGAGATATTGAGGTTGCCAGGGTACCTCTGACTAAGGCTCCCGTTGACAGTTATATGCGGCAGCTGCTGCTGCAGCAGCTGCAGCAGCAGCTTTGATAAGCGCTCTACGTGCTTCCTATCGCTCTCCATACACTCCAACGCTAGCGAAGATGCCTCGCCTAACCCCACAACTAAAGGCGTAGCAAGAGTCCCTGAAGACAAGCAAAGACAGACAAATATAAATATAAATATTCTGTCTCCTCATAGCTGTCTCCAAAGACAGCTCTCCTTCGGTCGCTGTCTCCCTCAACTTCTTCTCTCTCTGTCTCTCTTTAATGCACTATGTCTCTCTTTAATGCACTCTGTCTCTTCTTCTCTCTCTGTCTCTCTTTATCTCTCTCCATCTCTCTCTCTTTCTATCTCTCTCTTAACATATATATTATATATATATAACTGTAGCTCTCCCTGCCTCTCTACATATATATATATATACATATATATACATATATATATATATATATATGCATCTCTCTCTCTGTCTCTCTCTGTCTCTCTTTGCTTCGAATGCCTTAGAGCGCTATAAGAAAGCAGCATATAAGTCTACGATAATAACAGAAAAAGCACAGAGTGTGTGACAGAAAATACAATTAAAAGTTTACCGCTTCTTAAGCCTCTCTCTTGCCCTCCTCCATCTATGATAGGCGCGAGACGCACTTTCGGTGTTTTGTTTCGGACAAAGAGAGCACCTATTCCTTTAGGTCCGTATATTTTATGAGAAGAAAGAGACAAAAGATCGATGCACATTTGATCAACATTAATATCGATCTTACCGAATCCTTGTGAAGCATCTGTATGAAGAAGCACTCCTCTGTCTCTGCATACACTTCCGATACTCTTTATATCTTGTATTACACCGACCTCATTATTTACATGCATTATTGAGACTAATATTGTCTCCTTCCGAATTGCTGCGGCTACTGCAGCAGCAGATATCAACCCTTCGTTCGATACAGGTAAGAACGTAACCTCAGCCCCTCTCTCGCCTCCTGATAACACCCATTCTAAGTGCAGCAACCTGCAGCACTGCAGCACACATTTATGTTCTATCTGACTTGTTATTATGTGATTCTTTCGTACACGCTGCTGCTTCTGCTGCTGCTGCTGCTGCTGCTGCTGTTGCTGTTGCTGTTGCTGCTGGGGCTGGGGCTGGTCGTGTCCTTGCTGCTGCTGCAGCTGCTGCTGCTGCTGTTCCCTCGCCCGTTGCTGTTGCTGCTGCTGCTGCTGCTGTCTAAGAGCATGCTGCTGCTCTTCATATCTTATAAGCCCTTTAATAGCTAAGTTATTACTCTCTGTAGCACCCGATGTAAACACAATCTCTCTGCTGCGAGACGCAGGCAGACCGAGAGCGCGAGCAACTGCCTCCCTGCAGCAGCAGCAGCAGCAGCAGCAGCAGAAGCAGAAGCAGCAGCAAATCATGGCAGCAGATTATGAAACAAATAACCCTAAGCAGCGCAAGAAAACAGAAACAACAGCTAAAACAGCAACAACAGCAGCAGCAGTAGCACCAGTTGCTGCTGCTGAGAAACAGAAACAGCAAGCCACGCACATCCATCATCAAAATCGAAGCAACATAAGCAGCATCAGCAGCAGCAGCATCATCATCATCATCAGCAGCAGCAGAGCTGCAGCAGCACCGGGCAGGTGTCTCATCTGCTGATCAGCAGCAGAACAGCAGCAACAGCTGTCAGGTGTATATGCAGTTCATGAGGATTAAATAAATTATACCTTGCTTTCTCTACTTCTCGTTTTGCTTCCCAGCCAGCAGGATGCGATGATGAGTGCGGATTGCCGAAGCAATCTATATTGAAAGTCATCATCTTATCTAAGACTCGAGGGTCTAGAGGAGTTGTAGCTTGATAGTCTAGGTATATAGGCCGAGCTGCTACGCGTGCTGCTGCTGCTGCTTCTGCTGCTGCTTCTGCTGCTGCTTCTGCTGCTGCTGGAGTCGATGCTGCTTTGGCTGCCGGAATCCCTTCTTTTGATGCACCGCTTGAAGAAGCATATCCTGGTTCAGTCGCAGCAAAAGACGAGAAGAAACGACGGGGGACACAACAGCAGCAACTTGCTGCTCCGTCTGCTGCTGCTGCTGCTGCTGCTGCTCCTGCTGCTGCTGCTGGTGCTGCAGTTGCTGCTGCGCAGTCAGGACACAAGGCAGCACTTGTGCTTCTAGAGATTCGCCATACAGATGTCGGGTCCTTCTGCTCCTGGTGCTTACCCTGCAGCTGCTGCATCAACCGCTTCTGCTGCTGCTGCTGCTGCTGCTGCTGCTGCAGGCTCTGCAGCACAGCACGGCGTAGGAGGTGGCGGAGCGCAGGGGCCCCATGACCGTAGCTGCTGCATGTGCAGCGAAGAGCTTTGTTAAGCATGATGGTGTTGCTGCTGCTGTTTATTAGAAGGCTTCAATACTGTAGTCGACCTTCTGCTGCTGCTGCTGCTGCTGTTGCTGTTGCTGTTGCTGCTGCTGCAGGTGCTGCTGGTATTACATCGCTGAGAACAGGGGGAATGAAGCTCTTCTCCAGACCCCAGAACAAAGACGAAAAAGCAAAGAAGAATAATCTGCAAATGAGAATAAGAAGGAAAAGGGAGGGTAGAAAGCAGTAGCAACAGCAGCTGCCTATACACCAGAGATATATTTCAAGAAAAACAAACAAGGGCACACTGTGTGTATAAATAGACGAGAAAAAACGTATTAATTATTGATTTTAAATAATTAATATTGTATTTATTTATTTATTTAGTTTATTTTATTTAGTATGGATGCTGTACAAGCAGAAGCATCAGAACAGAGCGCTGCTGCTGCTTGCAGTGGGGCTGCTGCTGAGGTGTATAGGCAGCTCCCGGTGTATGTATAATTATTTTAAAAGATTTTATATATTTTTATGTTTAAATTTAATTTAATTTTAGAATTAATCAAAGAAGACAGCTCAATTGACACCTCCACCCCACCGCTCCCCTAACAACAGCGCTGAAATATACAAAAAAAGAAAGTCAATACACAAATATAAATAGATAAAAATAAAATAAACAAAGAAAGATAAAAGGAGAAAAATATTTACGCTGCAAATTCGAAACGGAAGGCACCACACACTGTACACAAATAAACATCGTGAAAGCAATATATATATATATATATATATACATATATATGTATATATATATATATATATATGTATGTATATGTAATATATATAATATATATAATATATATATGCAGTACATATATACACTACTATATATTATATAGAACCCTATATATATAATATTATATATATATTATATATATATCATACATACCCGTGTATACATAGATAGACAATACAAAGAAAAGGATAATGTACAGGCAAGCAATGTTTGTGTACAGCGAAGGGGTTTACTCTTAAAACTATTAATTTATATTTATATATGCTGTCGCTGCTTGTCTCTACTCTACTTCTAAACTTTGCTGCTGTTATTCTTTTTATTTAAAGTTAGGCTGAAGCAGCTTTGTGCGGTTCACTTCAAAGGAGGAAATGAGCAATTAACTATTTTAATTTTAATTAAAGATATAATAGATATAATGTAATATATATATATATATATATAATATTTTTTATTTATCATTAATAATTATATTAGCTACAAGAAAATATCTTAATCATATATTTATATATGACTATTTTATTT